GGCTTTTAGTTAAATGTTTTTATTGTGTTTCAATTGCTGTTTTTATATCTGTGATCTGTTTTATTGTTTTTAATTATTTTTAATTGTTTATTGCTTTCTGTGAAGCACTTTGTGATGTTTGTGTCTGTGAAAGGTGCTATAGAAATAAAGTTTACTTACTTACTTACTTATGTACATGAAAATCACATAAAGCAGTGGCACAGCACAAAATGTCTGTCACAAGTAGCTCACAGACTTTTTGGGAAGTGTTTTTTAAAAAGCTGTTTTTTCTCACACATACACACAGAAACAAAGAAAAAAATATATTTTGTAAAATCTGTTCCTTTCTGAGGACAGGGTCATTGACAGATCACAGTACTCCACATAAAACCCACTTCCAAAAACAAAATTGTTCCTTTAACAACATTTTATTGTTTGTGTGATTGTTATTTTACGCATTTGCACAAGTCTGAGACTACAAATGACGCACAGAGTGTCTCTCTAATATCCTRAGCTCTCATCTTGATGGGTGAGGATGTCATCTGGCTGTTTAGCATTTCAGCAGAGTGCCATTATATGACTTGCAAAGCCCCTCTTAATTAGGATGTTAAAGCTCACCAAAACTGTGCCCTGTGGTGTTAAACACCTGTAATCAGGATGGATGCAGCTGGATCATTTGGCCCAGATGTGTAGTGCCAGCAGCTCCAAACAGGCCTCCAGAGTGATGCTTTTGGTTATTCTTGCAATATCTCAGTGATCATTTGTCACCTTTGGCAAAGTTTCACTCTGCAAAATGACATGAAAATAAACAGTTTTTGGGAAAAAAAATTATTAACTCTTATTTTCTCATGAATTTTTGTCCACAACAAATTCAAATAGTTGTGTTGCATAAAAAATGAATTTGATATTGAACTACTGACATTGAATTTCCTTGTTATCCCACTGTGCATTCTTATTATGCTCTCAGCTTCTTGTCCTTGGTGTTGTCATGTACCTGGGAAGTGATTAATAGTGGATCTCGCTGCTATCTAACACACAACAAAAACTCGCCAATGTTTATTTGGTAGGCACCGCTGAAAAAGACTACACAGTTTGTTTTGTATTGGCATAATCCATATATGATCACATTTCTCATCACTGTTAAAATTTGTAAGAGAAATCAGTTGTGTGTTTTTGTGTTGCATCTCTCACACAGAAGTGATCCTATTACTTCTTAGTAGCAGTAGGAATGGATTTGGCATTTTTCCTTCTTTAGAATTCACAATCCCTCGATTAATTAAACTGAAATCCAACCTTTCAAATCTTTCCACAATAGAATTAGCCATAATGCTTTGCAGCGGTTTAAAGGTTTGAGAGCTATTGACAAGTGTCATCTGTGCAAATTAGTGGAATAAACTGAATGGATGCTTTTAATGCAGCACCACTGTTTTACATTTTCATAATGCATGAGTCATGTCTGTTTTACAGACCGATTTAAATAATGGCTTTATTTTAAAAAAAGGGTTACACAACAAATAAAACAGTTTACCTATAATAAATGCAACTCCCTTATCATTTTGTTGTTTGATCTTAGATTTAAACCCTCKCAATTGTAACTACAGAAAGATTTAATGCACTCGCAACAGGACTGGAAAATAACAGGATCCAAAAAGCACAACATCTAGAGACGGTAGTTTGATTTCATTGGACATCTTTTTTCAAGACATTTGAATCCCCTATGCATATTTTTATATAGCTAGTACAGCTAGCTGCAGCATTTTCTACACAAGTGTTTTTTTTAACTTACAGTCTATGTGTATAGTGTAAACTATAATATAATAAATGCTAACCACCAACTTGATTCATGGTTCCCAGAGCAACATGATGGACCTTTTTAACATAAAAGCTTCTTTTTAAACACAGGGAGAGACATTTTAATGTTTCATGTTTCCTTTCAGTTGGTAATGTGCTGTAAATGGAAATGTGTTATTGAAGAAACCAGATTGTTTGGATTGAAACTCTAAAATTGAGTAAAAGTGACTCCCAACTTTTGAAAGTTACTCCCACTCCTCTTCAA